TAGTAAGACTTCTATTACTATAACAAACACCCAAGGTAATCAACTTTAATGAGAAAAAGTTTATTTTGGTTTCCAGTTTTGGAGATTCTGGTCCATGATCAGTAGACCCTGCTGCTTTGGGCCTGTGACAAGGCAGCACATCATGGCGGGGAGCACCTGAAGGAGCCCAGTTGCTCACCTCATAGCTGGGAAGCCTAAGACAGGAAGAGGAAGGACCCCAGTCCCATTATCCCCTTCCATGGCATACTCACTGTGACCTAAAATTTCCCATGAGGCCCTACCTTTTAAAGGCCACCTCCCAATAGCCCTTGGAAAAATTATACCAGCAATGACACTGTTAGCAAAGATACCGAGTTACAATTTGTTGTAGATTACAGTTTGTTATCTCAGTCCAGGTAAAGCAGTGTTAACTCACAGTCCAGGTAAATCACAGTCCAGGTAAGTTCTGCAGGCAGCTAGCTTAAATCACAGTCCAGGTAAGTTCTGCAGGCAGCTAGCTTGATCTGAAGTTTCGTCCGGTTCTCAGCAACATTGGAAATTCTTCCACCCTCATCCTCATGGCACTGGGACGAAGGCAGGAACTCCGACAATGCTGGCTAAAGAAAATCTTGTAGCATTCCACTAAGAAAACAACCTTCTGAACAATTTAGTACATTATCTCAAGGTTTTTTACATTTGAAATAGGCCTTAATGGTGCTCATTACTCATTAACTTTCAGGTGTGGGAGAACCATTGTAGTTACTGGCCTTGGAAATGACCAAACATCAGGGACGTGGGCCATCTTCCGCCTGCAATGTCCTGGGCAGCCCCAGATGGCCCTGGGGAGAGTCCCAGACTCAAACTGCTTCCGGGCACAGGGAGCAAGAGCCTGCGAGACTGTGCCTCCAGGTCAGGTCTAGATTTGGGCTCCTGGCAGTGGAAGAGCCAGCTCCCCGGCCAGGAGGCGGGGAAGGGCCATTTGCTGTCGCCTCTTGGAAAATCCTTGCTGCGCTGTGACCAGCTTGCACACTCTGCAGTCGCCTCTCTGCTTCACGTACCCTCCGGTAACGAAAAGTATTTAGTAATAGCCTTTTGCTGCAACTTTTTTCCTGATGATCCTTCTTCTTCTGAACTTTCTTTTTCTTTCTGACTAGAGTTCCTGGGCTCTTATCAACACATGCCCTAACTATTCTTGGTTCCACTGGGGTGCCTCCTTCCCTTAGTAATTTACTTCTCACCCCTTCCATACTTTCATCACAAAGACAATACAATACACTGAGACAAAACAAGACACAAACATACTGTATCAATCTTTTCCATTTTCTCGAAATGGCCATTTTTTCCTCTCGCCCTATCTGCCTAGGGACGAGCAGATTTGCTCCCGTCCTATCTATGGATGAGCAGCTTTTTTTCGTCACTTACCCCCAAGTGTCCAGGGGCTCCCCATACGGGCCACCAACTGCCGCAGTCTGGTTGCAGCAAAATAACCGGGGGGTGGGGGGGGTGACGAACAACTTGTGTACGTTGATACAGCAGGAGTGGAAGCCATTTATTGCAGGACAGGAGCAGTATTTATACATTCCACACAGCTTACCTAATTAGCATAAACTAGATACATCAGTCAACCAATAAGGAATCTCCACACTTAATGGCTTGCTTTTGTTACTTCTCAAACCACTCCCTCTGGCATTTTGCCAGGCACCATCCAGACTTGTTTACAAACTCTAACATTTCTCTGGCAAAATGCCAGGCGCCATCCTGACTTGTTTACAGACTCTAACAACCAAGGAACAAAGTGGGAGTCTATGGATGGAAAATTATTAAAAGAAAATATTAGGGATAAAGAATCTGGTTTAACTGACCTAACAGGATTCTTCATTAAGACAGGCCAGGGTGATCAGACATCACCTGGGGATGGGTGGAGTATGAAGAATCCTACCCAACACTGACCAGGTAACAAGGGTGGAGGGTTCTTTGCCACAATTGGATTTTACCAGGAAGGTTACCTTCTCCAAGGACTTAGGAGGATGTTAAGAAGCCCAACTAAAGTTTGGCCAAGAAAAAAAATTTTGTCTTCAGTCATTTGAAATTTGTTTTATTAAAATACCTACTTGCCCTTGATTTATTTTTAGTTGTGTCCTAATCTCTTTTAGGAATATGGTCCATTTAATTTGCATGAGTGACTTAATCTGTATGAGCCTCAGAGAGGCACTTCTGTAATAATTTATGTTTTAAATTGCTCTGAGTGGACAAAGGTGTCTTATAAGGTAGTATTCCTCTAATTACCAATCCTTTAAAAATAATCAGAGACTAAGTAACAAGAATCAAATCTAATTTCCTTTGGGGCTCCTTTATTAGTCAAGATGAGTGATTTACACCTTAAGAGAGAAGTAGATATCTTCATGGGCTGGCATACCAATGTAAATCTGTCTCTGACATCAGTACTTTTAACTTTTTTTTTTCTGTAACACAGAGCAGGATTAAATGAGGGAAGGTGGGGCTGCAAAAGAACTGTTTGATTTTTAAAAAAATATTCATTTATTGGTTTGTCCTTGAGAAGACTTGAGATATCTCACTATGGATGCTCCCTGACTGGCAACGAGCTATGTCCCAATTAATGCACAGTAAATTGAAGATGTAAGTTCAAAACCAATTAGCACACTCAAACTACCAAACATCATACTTTAGCTGCAAATAGTTTAGCTGATATTAGAATATCAGTTGCTCACCCATTTGACTATGTGGCTGACTGGAAACAAAAATAAAAATCAAAATTCAAAGTATGAACTCTACTGAATATGTATCACTTTTGCACCAACTTCAAGTTGAAAGAGTTTAAGTAGAACCATCGTAAATCAGGGATCATATATATTTTGAGTTAATCCAAAATTTATCATCTGAACTGAACAGAGATGCAACTGAACCTGAAGGAAAGCTTCAGGCAACTCTGTGCTCAGAAACCTGGAACAGGACTTGAGGATCCCTCTGGTCCCCTTTCTTAGCTCTCACTGCTTCTTCACTACTTTTCATTGTCATGGACACCTCTGATACTTCTTTCAATAAAAAAGAATACAACTCAGATTAAGGAAGTGGGCAAGGATGTGACTTCTATAAAGGTGAGTTTAAGGAGGAAAAAAGTATGCTGTTTATAAAAATCTATTATTAGGGCCACTCTATAGGGTAAAGATATTATCTCTAGAAGTTCCTTGTTAATTATAGGTATGATTGACATCTTGGCCTATCAGTGAGAATACTGTTATATCTAATATCATTTCTGAAAAGACAACTTCACTATTCCTTTTAGTTTTTAACTTAGAAAGCTCCACTTTTATGGTATTAACCGGCTCCCACCCCATATTTGAGCAGTTTTGTTCAGTGAGCCCTACAGTAGTGCATTGCTGCACAAAGTACACCTCAATATATTTTTATTAAGTGAATAGGAAGGGCTGTTTTGTGTGGTGTGGGGAAATAAAATGTGGTCTGGATGTTTAAGCTAACAAGGGTCAAAAAGTTTTGATGAAAGGATGAAAATATCAATGGTTAGGATTTTTCAGTCACTCATTTTAGGTAACCAAAACCAAAAGAGAACAAAACAAAAAATCAAAAAACAAAGTGAAAAGGGGTGAACCACATTCTGTCTTGGAATGTTTGTCTTAATTCACTGAGTTTTCAACATTCAGATACATCTTAAAATTTTTAAAAAGTTGGTGTAGTAAAGAGCCACCAAATGCTCAGAGAGAAGAACAATTTCTGCTTTGTATTTCACTATTATTAGTTTCAGATCAATGAGATTTTTAAAGGATTTTGGAAGGAAAGGAATGAAATGGTGACTTTAAAAAAATTTTAAAAATTGTGGATGAACACAATACCTTTATTTAATTTATTTTATTTTTATGTGGTACTGAGGATCCACATGCCTCACACATGCCAGGCAAGCGCTCTACCACTGAGCCACAATTCCAGCCCCAAATGGTGACACTTTATTTTAGTGTGTTCTGTCTGGATGTGTCAAATCCTGGTGGCTTCAACAGTAAAATAGCTGAAGTTTACAAGGGGCCAGAAAATCGATCCTTGTAGAGATTCTAGTAATCATCACTCTGGGATATGAAATTCATTTATGCTTTATAATTAGTATTTTTAAAAGGAGAACAATTATTCAGAAAGGCTGTTTAGAAGCTAATGCCAAAGTCCTCATACACAGTTTTTGTGGGTATGTGTTCCTCTAGTTTTTAAAAATTCATATTGACTGAGCAGGAGTAGTTCAAACACAGCAAAAGAACTGTTCGATATTTTAAAAAGTATTTATTTATTTTAAAAAGTATTTACTTAACTTATTATCACAGACCAGAAAAAAATCAGATCCAAGAGGTCCAGTTAGAAAGGAAGAAAAACTAATTTGCTGGGCAACTCCCGAATTATCTTAAGAGTTTAAGTAAAATATAAAGCGAGGAGAAATGGTCCAGAAGCCAAGTCATCTCCCAGACCCAAATCAAAAATCGAACCTAAGGCTTTTTATAAACACAGGCAGAGAAATGGGCGGTAAAGAAAAAACAGCCCTGGCGCCTCGGAACCAACCCGGGCAGGGCGGGCAGGAAGTCCTTGGCCAGGGACACCCTTTCTCCTGGCTTTGGGAAGGTGTTTTTGGAAGCGGTTTCCCGGAGGGTGGGACTGCAGGACCGAGAGCCCGGCGGGAGGGAAAGTCCCGGCGGGGGATGACGGAGAGGGCGGCGGGACGCGAGCGCAGAGCCGGCCCGGTGCGTTTCTCCGGCGCCGCCGCAGCAGCTCTTGTCCTGGGTGCTGAAAAGCTGGGAAGTTCCCGGGAAGCGGCAGCCACTTTTATTTCGGAGGGAGGGTGGGTGTGGGGTTGCAGGCTGCGCACCTGCTAAGCCCGCCAGATCTGCCCTCCTTAACCCCGTTCGGGAGAGATGGATGGGGCAGAGGGACTGCGTGCAGAGCTGGGATCACCAGGAGGTCCCCGGGGGTGCCCTTCCAAGCGGCCCGGCGACGCGACCTTAGCTTACCTATTCGTGAACTCTCGCCGTCAGGGTCGCGCGCGCCCGCGGGCTCAGCCCAGCAGAGAGCCAGGGAGGGGGCCGAAGGTGCCAGGTGTTGGAGGAAATCGGCTCGAGTCCCGGGATTGGGGGGGCGGAGGCGAGAGCAAGCGGGCATGCGCAGTGGGGCGGAGGAGGTGGCGATGGCCCGGGGAGGCGGGGGGACTGCTGTTTATTTGCAGCTGGGCCAACTCCGCGGCGCAGGCGGCGGCAGAGCGCGGGGCGCCCGCGGCTGGTCCAGCTGCCGCCGCACCATGCCGGAGCCCACCTCCAGGCTGCCGCCGCACGCCGCGCGGGCCCCCGCAGGGGAGGATGCCAGACGCCCGGGAGAGGCCAGGGCAGCAGTGGAGGCGGCGGCGCGATGGTGGTGACCACCTCTGCCCGAGGCGGCGGGGACCGCGCGCCCTCCCGGCGGCCGGGCTGCGGGCTGGCGCCGGCCGGGGCCGCGGCGCTGCTGGCGGGGGCCAGCTGCCTATGCTACGGCCGCTCCTTGCAGGGCGAGTTTGTGCACGACGACGTGTGGGCGATCGTGAACAACCCCGATGTGCGGCCGGGCGCCCCGCTCCGCTGGGGCATCTTCACCAACGACTTCTGGGGCAAGGGCATGGCCGAGAACACCAGCCACAAGTCCTACCGGCCGCTCTGCGTCCTCACCTTCAAGTGAGTCCCTCTCCTCGCGCTCGCTGCCGCCGCCTTCCCCGATTCTCACTGCTTCTCCGGGCCAGGACAAGTTCCAGGACTGGCTAGGCGGGCGTTCTTTTTTGCCGCCCTTTCCCTCCACTCCTCCGTTTTCTCCATCCTGTCCACACTACTCTGCGCTCGGGTCCTGCTCTCGCTTCTCTGCGCTCCTGGGGCGGTTCGGGAGGCTAGAGCTGGGGAGTTGGGATCGAGTTTCTCAAGTGTGTGCGCTCTCGGCGGGCTTCTCTGGGCCGGGCTAGGGGCCAACTGATGAGGCCCCTTTGCACCCCAGTCCTTGCCCGGTGGCTGCCAAATGGGACCAGCGTGGGTCCACTGGGTTCTGGAGGGGTGGCGGTGCTGGCGATGCTTCCAAGTTGGGAATTTCTCAGAAGCTGTTGGGTAGCTTTGCCGATGAGGAGTGTGTCAGCCCCTCTGGGGATGCATTAAGATGGGAGGAGGAGGGAGCCTTGAGCTGCTAGGACTGCGTAGTTTTGGGAAAAAGCAGGGGAGAGAGAAGATTCTCCTCACTCCACTCACCCCGACCTTCTCCCTCTTATCTGCTCCCAGAGCTTCTCTAGTCTGCCAAGCAGCTCTGGAAATGGACTTGAGGAGGTGCAAAGCAAAGGAATACAGACGCGTGGAATCCTCCGGGGATCTTGGGGTCCCCGCTGAAATAGTTTTTCTTTTACAACCCGGAGTCATGATTCAGCATTTCTAGTGTGAATAAGTGTAAAGGGAAACGAGAGTATACCAGGATTTTATAGGGTAGGGTATTTTCTTGAATTTAAAAAGAGGGCTAATACAGAAAGGAGAGAAGGGCTGATTTGAAGGAAGTGCTATCTTCTACATCACTAGCTGATGACTCCACCCCTTATAATTTGGCTCAGCCCTTAAGCTTGTTTCAATGCGCCGGACAGAAACTGTTGAAATAATATTGTTTCGGTATTATTAGCATTTTAAGTGTTTTCCAACGGGTGTAATAGGAACTGGGGTTTATGGTAATGATCATTTGAGACTGGGTTGGCAGTTTGAAAGCCTGTTCTGGCCTGCTGGACTAGGTCTCCTTTGACAGGTGGCTCTGATGACTTAGAAAAGGAAACCATGGCAATTGGCAACAATTCATGGGCTTCTGACTTAATCCTTCCACTGAAAGTTTAATGTTTTAAAGAGGGTGAGAAAATACACATTTTACTCTCAAGAGAATAATTTGTAAACATTGACCTCTTGAAAAGTTGTGGTGGTTTTCAATGGAAAGATAACTTTAGCCACTCAGTGAGTTCCTCCCTCTTCTGGTTTTCCAAATATTTCTTAAAATTTATTTAGGTAGCCCAAATATAAATGTTTCATGTCTAGATGGACCTGAATTTTATTATTGGGCATTGTTGTTTGATTTTAAGTATGAGGTATGCTAGACTTATAAAAACCACTGCCCTGGTCCCTGGGTTGAGCATTTTCCATTAAAAAAAAAAAAAAAAAAAAAAAGGAAGGTTTAAATTCCTTTATCCAAAGGGAAATTGCATGGAAATGGAGGGAGACCCTCATTGTTATACAAAATTACATATAAGAGGTTGTGAGGGGAATGGGAAAAAAAAACAAGGAGAGAAATGAATTACAGTAGATGGGGTAGAGAGAGAAGATGGGAGGGGAGGGGAGGGGGGATAGTAGAGGATAGGAAAGGTAGCAGAATACAACAGTTACTAATATGGCATTATGTAAAAATGTGGATGTGTAACCAATGTGATTCTGCAATCTGTATTTGGGGTAAAAATGGGAGTTCATAACCCACTTGAATCTAATGTATGAAATATGATATGTCAAGAGCTTTGTAATGTTTTGAACAACCAATAAAAAAAAAAGAGAAAAAAAATAAATTCCTTTATCCACTTGCTGGAGGTGGGGGAGAATGTTTTCAGGTCTTCCTAAAAATTTTAAATTCACAGTGGAGAAGGCAGGGACAGAGGAGAGAGGGATGGAGGAAGGGACTAATTAAGGGGGCAAAGACATTGATAAAGAGAAGTAATGGGGTTGGCAGAGTAGGGGCAAAGAAGGGAAAGAGGTGAAGAAACTTTTCCTTTCTAGTAATCTTTGATTGGAAAAAGCAGCTTGGTATATAAGATTCATTGCTCTTTGTTTAATGTTACTTGCTATAAAATATATATATTTTTTTATTTTTACAAAGACTGAGTTGCATATATAGAGAGCAACATGGTGCTAGTTGGAAATGGATAAGTGCCTATTCAGAAAGAAAAAATTAACTAACTAATCTTTCTTTATTCACTTGCATTGATTTAAATAAGACAGCTTTCTTCACACAGTCAGGGGGGCGGGGAAATGGCATCTCCTAATGCAAAAGCTTAAAGCTGGAGAGCATCAGTGACTTTAGTCTCACACAACTCTTAATGCTGCAAGGATGGGCAGAAAGTCACATTTATTAGCTATTCAACATGAACCAAGTATTGACCTTGACTCTTTACATGGATCAGGAGTTCAAAGAGAGCCTTAGCAACAGCTAGGCGCTGAGCAACTCAGTGAGATTCTGTCTCTAAAAAATACAAAATAGGTCTGGGACTTTGGCTCAGTGGTTGAGTGCCCCTGAGTTAAATCCCCAGTACCCTAAACAACAACAACAACAACAACAACAAAACAATGTCTTTATGATATTTATTTTAGGTAGATGATGAAAACACAATTCAGGAGGGTCTTTAAATATGTGCAAACCATTTTAACCATATCTTAAATTATGCTTGTTTGAGCATATATCTTTGAGACTTCATACTCATTAAGAAAACATTTTTATTTTGAGAAAATTGTACATTCCTGTGCAGTTGTAAGTAGTAATATAGATCCCATATACTTCTTATCCATTTTCTCTCAATGGTAACATCTTACATAACTGAAGTGTAATAGCACAACCAGGAAATTGACATTGATACCATCTACTTTTATTCAGCTTTCACCAGTTTTACATGTACTCTTTAAATTTTGTTAAGTACTATGCAGTTTTTTCAGATTTGTTCATTTCTAAGAGTACCATCACAGCCAAGATACAGAACAATTCCATCACAAGGATCCATACCATAGCGATGAACCCCTAATCTATAACAACCACCAAATCCATAACTCCCCCTACTTTAATCCATAATAACCAATAGTTTTCCACCTCTGTAATTTTACCATTTCAATATTGTTTATATCATATAGTATATAATTTTTAGAGATTGGCTTTCTTTGATTCAACCTGTCTCTGGAGCTTTATTCAGATTGTTGCATGTGTGTGTAGTTTTTTCCTTTTTAACCATTCAGTAGTATTCCATTGCATAGATATACCACAGTTTATTTAACCATTCATTTGTTGAAAACATCTAAGTTGTTTTTGGATATTTAAAATGAAGTTGCTCTAAACATTTATAGGTTTTGGTATAAACATAAATTTTTATTTCTCTGGAGGAAATGTATAGGAGTACAACATCATCGTATGGAGGTTGCATGTTTGATTCCTTATGAAACTGCCAAACTGTTTTCCAGACATTTCTACCAGCAGTGTATGACTAAGTCAGTTGCTTGCTTCCTTGACAGCACTTGGTATTGTTGCTCCTTTTCTTATTGTAGTGATAGTAGTATATCACTACATTTAGTTTTTATTTTCTTAGTGGCCAATACTATTACATATATTTTCTTGTGCTTGTTTGCCCTTTGAATTTCCTCTTTGGCAAAAACGTGCCCTTGTGTCTTAAGTCCATTTTCTAAATGAATTTTTTTTTTTTGCTGGGTTTTAAAATTTTTTATACATTCTAAGTACGTGTCCTTTGTCAAGTATGCTGTTGGCAAATGTTCTTTCCTCACTATGTAGCTTATATTTTTGTCTTCACAGTTGTTCCTAGTGTAGAATTTAAATGCATCTTTTTATTCAAAGTAAATTTGTTAATTTCAATTCATCAGATATATGTCACACATACTGAGAGCTAGAAATTCACATAAGAATAAATGTAATCCTTAGATGTGTAATGCTTTTACTAATAAAAGTGTTTGTGTACTAATTAATAATTAAGGTACTTATGTAGTAAAGGTACTAATCACGATTTTTCTCATAAGAAATGAGCTAATGTTGAAACGAGGAAATGACTTATCAGAGCATCTACTGTTACCAGTTGTGGAGGTACAGGGCAGTGAAACATCAAGGCATTTTACCAAGACCTGGTGGTTTTGTATTACATCAGTTTAGCAAAGTTAGTACTGTTTCCCAGAATTCCCTTCCCAGGATGGTTCTGCATTAGGGCTGTCCACAGGAGACAATTCTGCAGGACTTAGAAGGTGGAAGTGAAGTAGTCATGATCACACTGAGAGGGTTCATGTACATGAAGTTTTGGTGCTGTGGGGCCTCCTGCAGATTGTGGAAGAAGTGCTGGCTGCTCTGCTGGTGGTGTTCAGTTGCAGCCATGCCCACAGCACCTCCTGCACTCTCCAGAGCTCCTCCTTCAGCTACTTGCAGTCAGATGTGTGTGTGTGTGTGTGTGTGTGCAGTGTTTCACTTTCAAGAAGAGAACCACCAGCCTTTCTGCAAGCCATTCACATCATTGAGGTTGAGTCCTAATGGTCATAGGTGTGTACCCCAGTTTATCCTGTGGGTTCCAGCTCAGCCTTGTTTTCCCTACTCCTGGTGTACCCCTCCCCGCTTGCAGAGAGACCACCTTGCTGGCTTGCAGCCTCCATTTTAGATACAGAAGCATCAGACTTCCTGGGGTTATTTAACCAGCTCCCACTGTTGTGAAAGGTCAGATCTCTATAGTAAATCCCTTCTTCAGGATCACTCCTGGTGGCTTTGTTTTTCTTGTAAGACTCTCACAGACACAAATAGTCATTTCTTTGTGTTCCTTCAGGTGAATTTAGAATTCTGATGAATTTGTATTTCTAATCAAATCTTACATTCCATCTTTTCCTAAGAGCATGTCCAAGGGCATGCAGGAATATTTTTAGACCATGGT